CGGGGATCTCGCGGGGATGACCGGGGGGGAGTGGGGGTAGGAAGCGATTCATCCCTTCCATCGTCACCGGGAGCTCCTCATATTGAAAGATCCGGTGGAAGCGGGGGAAATGATCGCCACTGCGGGGGAGGGAAGCGAGGTAATCGCGATGGAAAGAGGAGAGGGTGTGGAAAAGCGTCGCCCGAAAGATCTCGAAGTGGCGACAGGCGGGGATTGTCCCCGTGGCAACGCACTAGACTTCTACGACGTTGGATCGCTCCCATGCAGCGCTGAACAGCAGGAGATGCCAGCAGAATGTGGGAGCAGCGGACTGAAGGGAGGCGTGAGGATGGACGGTGGCGAGTAAACGGGTAGAATAGAAGTCGCGGAAGAGGTGGGGATGAAAAGGATGGGAAGGGAAGGTGACGGGGGTACGGATCGACTTGAGGGTGAGAAAATCAAGGGGTCGGCGGGGCAGCGTTGGAGGTCGAAGGCCTGTCGCCTGCATTGGAACGTGGGCGAACTGGGGGACGGGTGGGGCTGGAGGAGGGGGGGGATCGCCGCCGTCTCCGTCGCGCGGTACTTGAGGTGGCGGCTGCAGGGTCACCATATTCTTCTTTGTCGTCGTCGTCGTCGATCACCACGTCTTCTGCCCTCGAGTAGAAGGCGTAAGGGATGATCTCGTACGGCTTAAGATACTCCTGCCGCGATGGTAGCGTATCCTCGTCCCTAGGTTCCTCCAAGCACGAAGTCCACTGAAGGTACGGATCCAGGGATCGCTCAAAAATGTACGGAGCAGGACTGTTGTCACTCTGAAAGTAGATGTCGGGCGAGAGATCGTCCGCCAATTGCACGATCGGTGCGATGAGTTCCTGTGCAATCAACTGACGGCGACCCGGTTGTACCGATCCAAAGAGGAATCCAATAAGATCTCCTTCCGCGTTAGTCCTCCAACCCTATATGATCAACAGCTCCGGATTCTCGATCGACGTGGGATGCTCGCTAGTGCCCGTCCACGTCACCTGTACTCTGGCCAAGCAAAAGGACAGCTCCTCAAAAGTTTCGCGCCACAATCGCCAATGTCCAGGAATGATAAGAGGGACTTAAAGAGGCTCGAACGAGAAGGAAAGAGAAGGGTGACGATCGGATTGCCAGAAGGTGGGGAAGACAGAGGGGAGACCAAAGGTAGAGAGAGGAGCGAGACGAACAGCGTGGTTCATTGGGGATGGGGGAAGGGGACGATGGTGGGGGTCGCAACTGGCCGCCCGCGCGATGATCGGCGAATACCGTCCAGGTCCGATGCGAAGATCGAGATGATGTTATACCCCTCCCGGGTGAGGACGTGCTACCACACGTTGGACACTTGCTCCGTCCACTCGCGCAGCAAGGCCAAGATCGCGGTATGCCGCAGCGGATTGACCAAGCTGATGTCGCCGGTGAATCCCGCCACTGTGGTGACGTGGCTCGTTCTGGGACCCGCTCGTCGATGAACTGCGGTAACCTCCGCGAACACTATTGCGCGAGGACTTCCTTCAATTCGAAACGTGGCGGCGGCACAGATACCTTTGTTGCAGAAGAATCGCATCAAACGCCGAAGATCCGTATTGAGCCGAGGGTGACAAACTTGCCGAATCTCTGAGATGTGGCCACGTGGCTGCAACAGTTGAATGTCAAGAACCCGCTCCGTGATAAAACTCATGGCGAGGTCGGAGAGGAGGACGAAGGACAAGAGGGAGAAAGACGGGAGAAAGTTAGATCGTCGTCGTTCTCCTCGCTTTCCGAGGAAGAAGAGGGAGGACGATCGGAAGGAGGAAGAAGACGGAGGTAGGAGGTATGCCAGACGATGGGGATATGGCTGGCACTAGCCTCAGGCGTGACGCGCACCGTGTTAGCGCCGTTGGGTCCGAGTTCGACGACGCGAAAAGAACCAGAGTACTTGGGAGCGAGTTTCTGGTCGCATGCACATTTACGTACCTGCACTAGGTCCCCTAATTTATATTGGTACTGGGCCCCAGCGTTTCCATTCCGGGCTTCGTAGCTACGGACCTGTCTACCGTGGGCCAGCTCGGTCATCCTTTGTCTTTTTTGGGCTAGCTTCGGAACGGCCCGTTCCATCAAATCGGTGTACCTTTTGGCCTTGGCCTTGAGGGCCGCACGCGTGTCTCTACCCCCTGCATTGGCAATTTCCGAGTTGCCCCGGTAATCGACACAGGGGAGGCTATTAGTTCGAAGCTGAAAGGGGGTAAACCCCGTAGACTCGTGAGGGGTGGCCCGGTGGATCTCGACGATCTGATACACGATTTCGGGCCAAGGACGCGTGTCTTGTGCCGCTAAGTTCCTGCGAAGGGCGGTTTTAATCATACGGTTGGCATTCTCGGCCAACCCGTTCGACTGGGACACGTGGGGTGCCGAATGTCGGAGCATGACGCCCCTTCGCGCAAGTAGTTCTTCTACCTCGCCTTTAAATTCAGATCCATTGTCGGTTATAATTTCTTTCGTATCTAGATGGGTATAGAAAAACCGTTCGATGTACGTGGCTACTTCTGCGGCTTTTCGGGTCTTACAGGGGTAGACCTCGATGTACTTGGAAAAGTGGTCAATTAACACTAATAAAATAGAATATTCACAGCGGTTGATGAAGAGACCCCCAGGGCGTCGGTGCTCCGCCGCAGGAGGGACAACTCCGAACTTATGCTTTCGGGGCCAGACCGGCTGGCCCTATCGACAGCCTTGTGTCATCCGAGGAGGCATACGCCGTCGC